GAGTTGAAAGACCACGACTCCTGCGCCGCGTACGCGACGCTACCCCTCACTGACGCGTGACCTGCGGTCACCTCAATCTCGTCCAACAGTGACATCAGAAACGAGCTCTAAGTGTGCGAAGAGTTTTGTGTCATTAATTGTCAACTCGTTTGATGCCATACTTTGCCGGAGCCGACGGGTCCTATCACTGCCAACAGCTCTCCCGGCGCTAATGAGACGGTAATGCCTTTGAGAGTCGGGTTCTCTAATGTCTGGCAAATGAAGGCGTGATTTAAAAACAGTTTTCTTGATTTGCATACACTTTAGTTGCGATGGTTTACCGGATCCCAAGCGGCGGACATATTCCTAACGCTGACACTGCAGTCCTCGTTGTGATGGTCGTCGAGATGTCCGTCGTTTTGGTGGTCACTAATCAACGGAACTTTGGCGTCGATATCGGGGTCTTTGCCGTCGCCTGTCATCGGGTGTGTAATGTATTGTCTGTCGCGGACCTCCTCTAAGAGTAGGTATTTCTGGGGAACCGTTGACAAAAACAATACAATTAACAACACATGTGTATTGAAATAGTATAGAGGGATTGAAACCTGGATGCGTTTGCACGACACGTACAGCTCTGCGGCCAACGCCACCGATTGTGGGAAAGCGAATGTCATTGTGAAGCGCAGGGCGTTGAAGATGTTCATCGTTACGAACACAGACTCCGCCCCCAAATGGCCAGTCGTGAGCACATGTACGATGAATATGGCGAATATGATGGCTCGCGGACTGATCATCGATATGCTGTTGTTCAGGGCCTTCAATACAGTCGACTTACGGATTTGCGACATCTCTTTGCTATCGCATACACGGGATAGAGATATCAGTGACCGTATCGTGAGATAATGATTGGGTGTATGAGTGGTGAGACATGGGGTGTATGTGGGTGTGTCGGGTGCTTACCGTCGGGCCTCCGATATAAGTGCGTTGAAATGTCTCTCCCAGGCGTACATTTTGATGACTCGCATGCCTTTTATGATTTCATTCATCAAACGTATCCTATTGTCCGAAAGTGCCGAC